TTCATTCCGAGGTGAAGGTGGGTGTACGGTGGAGGTTAGAACTTCAAGTTCTGCCGGATAACATCACGGTTACGTTTTGAGTGATTCCAATTAGAACTTTCTTCCTCTAAACTTATGAGCACTACATGCAATTCGTATTGAAACTCTGATGTCTGATACGCATTTTTATCTAAGATAGCATTGATCAACTTATACAGGCCCTAAGTGAGGACCTTTGGGATAGCACATGTTTTCAACAGGGGACCGGGTATACGGTAGGGAGTTAAAACCAGGAGTCAAAACCAACTCGGCTACCTGCTTCCGGAAGTGGAAAAAAACATCCCCTTTGCCGAGCATTTGCCTCCACAAGAACTCCTTCAGGTAATCTGCACAGCGGCTGTTTGACCGCGCATTTTTGCTTGATGAGGCGTCTGTACGCCAAGGGCTTTCGATGTTCTGGATGTGCGCCCCAGTCGCCGGATCTACAAAGTTGATATGGTGGTTGACCGTAAGGTAACCTTGTGGAAGGGCAGACGATCGGTTGTAGGCTGTGCTGGAATGATGTCCCGGTGGCAGAATCAGTCCTTGTGGGCCTCTTCCAGCGTCATTGAACATTCGCAAGAAGAGCTTATGGGCATGGTCAAAGTCCCTGTCGACCTTAGCTAACCTTCGAACGCGTTCTCCTACATCCTCATCTTCTCATAAATGTCGGCAAAGGTGGAGTCCCTGAGTTCCTTATCTCGGAGTGCAAACCCGCAGGACACTGACATAGCTATTCACTGAGTATTGGGAAATGGTAGCTTCCGTACCGGTGAAACCGATATGAAAATAGAAGATTTTGTCTTCGAAGCCGTAAGTCAGAAATTACTGCAATACAGGAAAACAAATAAGTTACAGTATATATCCTTGTTATATATAGATTGGAAACATTTGGCGCGACGACGAAAACTATACATCGTTCTCCCACCCTGACGCCCCCTTCAGCGTTGCGGAAGGGGAGTTGTTGACAGTGTGAGCGCGCGAGACATCACACTCTCTCGCAGAGGTTTTGGACGACGAGAGATTCAGAAAAACGGTGTATTCTTGTACGCAGACAAGCCCGAGAGGAGAGGGTTGTTTCGACATTTGTCAATTGATCGCACCCTACACGATATGCGATGACGGCACGTGTTTTGACTATGCCTGGATGATGAATTGTGATGAAATACCGTATGTTCGGTTTGATCACGCTTTCGCAGCTGGAGCAATCTCCACTGCGTACATACACAGTTCCACTTCTTTTCATGTCCCTACCTACATTACTCCAGCTTCATTCCAAAGATTTTCTTGCCTCCCTTGCCATTTTGCATAATAGTTTTTTCGCCACAGAAAACGCCTTTGCTCCCGGAATGAAGACCCAGCATGGAAGCTGTGATTTCGATGGTTGAGCTACGGTAGGCTCTCTCTGTGGCTGACCACTTTTTGGAGCGAAAAGTTTTGTTTTCCCCCACAGTTTCCATAAAAAACGGTGAAAGTCTCGATTTCGACAGAATTTTCGCTACAGAACCCAGCATGGAAGCTGTGGTATCGCTGATTGAGCTCCGGCAGGCTCCTTCTGTGCTATGACAGTGTCTCGGATTTCGAGCCGTTTGATTAGCGGTAGTATCGAGTAACATGCACCCGCTGTGACCACGGAATGACACGTTACCGTAGCGAATGAATGTCATATTCATGATCAGCATTTCGAACAGGGCCCGGTACAGATCGTCTGGAAGCAAGCTGGACTTCGTCTTTGGAGCAAAAAGCAAAGGGGATTTCGTTTTTGACGAGTCGGGGCTGAGCACAAAGAATAAGCGCCGCCATTTATTCGTACACAAGTTTTTCGGACAGGTTATGATACATTTAACATGCTCTATCGTATACGGCGAAAAGTGCGCGCGATTTGAAAGCAAGGCTAAAATAAACAAATTGCTTGTTTACAGCGCACACAGAATCATATAACACCAAAATTGAACCGTATACATAGAAAATTATTTGTGGAAGGATTATGTATAAAGATTTGAAAACTTATGAAAACTAATACCTTTTTCAAAATTAGATCGTCTCCAAACAGCCACCAGACGATCTGAGATTGTCTGGAGTATATATTTTCGTCACTTCACATAAGTTTTGGATCTTTTTAGCATGGACAAATGTCCCGGCCAAGAATCTATTCCTGAGCATAGAAACATTTTTATATCACCCCCTGTCCACCGTATTTTATCCTCTCTTCCGAAAATCGCCTCAGATATCGCGCCCCAACGTCAAGTTTTCTGCATTCTCTCCGAATTTTCATTCTCAGTTCTAGCTTTTTCTTCACTTTTGAAGATTTCTTCCTTTTCTTTCTTCTTCTTTTTCTTTCTTCCGCTCGTGATCTATTTTGATCGTACTGTGACCAACTGTAACCATGTAGGACTTTATGAAGCAAGATTTTGTGGATTTTGTGGTTTTTCTTTGAGAGTTTGACCTGAAATCGCGAGATTCACAGTTCGCAGCAAATGGTTTTGTCAAGAACCAAGTGCAAGCATCCACCAAAAATCGGAAGAGGGGTAGAGCAAGGGTCAAAGGGGTTCGTAATTTTCGAAAGTGAGGGGAGACTTCTTTTCAAAAGCCTAAAATCGGACTCGTGCCGGGCCCGGATATCGAATAACACTCGCATCGAGTTTTCTAGTTATCGATTCCCTGCCGTTTATCGATACATTCATCGCTACCCTAGAAAATGACGCTACCACCCGAAATTGGCACGATATTCGGCATCAGGGTGATACCCCTCCCCTGTGCCGACAGTGCAACTTCGATTTTTGTGCACTGGAGTTGTACCGCTTTTCGTGCTGAATCCAGACGAACTATGATGATTGTAAATTTGAAGTTCTCGAAGTTCAAATTCAGTTGCACACTCCCTTAACTGTCAACCGCAAATCCTATGTTTGAGGTAGTCGTCGAATAAAAGTGGGCAAATCTGTTATTTGCACTTCATGCACATGATCAGCTTTCAGAAACGCAAATTAGCTAAGGCACAGTTGTCAATATGCGAAATTTAGAAAAAGTTTGAGTCCAAAGAACAGTCTGATGGCATGTAGGTTGATTTCCAGCCATAGTAGGAATAACGTTTATTCTTGATGGGAAATGTGTTTGGAAGCAATGACAAGAAAATCTACATGATCTATGATTTTGTGCAGACATTCGACTGCTACATACATATGCATCTCCAAATTGATATGCACCAGTGGCGTACCGAGGGGGGGCGCCCCCCCCCGAGAATGGGTCGCGAAATTTTTGAAAGTTACTTATATGGGTTGTAAAAATGTGCAAGTGACTTGTTGTTTTTTGTAAATAATTAAAATAATTTTTAAAAATTTTTAAAAATTCAAATTAGTCTTGTAAAAAAAATTATTCGGGGGCGTGCCACGCCCAGTTTTTCCAGATTTTAGGGGTCGGGGACCCGCAGAAGTTTTGAGAAGCACCCCAAAAATTTTTTTCGTAGTGCGTGGCCAACGCCACGCACCTTCTTTAGAAAAACTTTTTTGTCCCCCCCCGAGCCGAAATCCTGGGTACGCCACTGATATGCACCTATATGCGCATATGCAGTTAAGGAATCTTTTGAAACTTTTTTCAGAATAGTTTGGAAGAAGAGTCTGTAATTGTTGCTCAATGACGAAGAAGCTTGTGATTGCACAAATGTTTGTATATGTATTGGTCACAGGTCACATATGCCCATTTTAAAGATGAACGTAAATTTTTCTGCACATCATCCTTTTTCGAACAACTGCATGTTGAAAACTGCCTAGAGTACTATACCGGGTATCCGAATGTAAAAAATATACTTTTTTTGAAAAAAAAAGTGGAGTGGTTTATGGTGGTTTTCCCAAAATTCGCTTCTTTATTCAGAATTTTATTTTTCAGAAAACTGAGGCCCGTAGTAAACCCCCCATCAGAGCATCTCTCTCGACGCGGACCGGCGTTGATCTCATCACGCCTCAGTCTAGCATCCGGCGAGCCATTGATTTGGATGTGGATCGCTTCCGAGACATTACAATCAAGTGCGTTTTGAAAAAGGAACCACTTGAGCTGGTTTGGTCAAACGGGTAAGCGATTGGAATTACACGCGCGCGGCCGTGGTTCGAGTCCAACTAGCGGCAACCTTTTGATGCATCGCTGGGCAATCCTTGATGGCCACTACGCAATGGATGATGACCGCTATCAAGAATTTCGCCTAGCAAATGCACGGATAAAACAAAAACACAATTTGTGACGACAATTTTATGAAAAAACGAAATGGTTGCAGCGTGAATTTAATGGAATGAATAAATGAGTCCTTGTTTTGGACAGCTAGTGAAAAAAAAAACCAGTAAGGTTTACGAAAAAGAGAAGAATTTGTTTTTTGTTATCCTCGCCAAAATTAGCTGTTCATCGATCTTCTCCTTTTCGGGCGCGGTTGTGCAGTTTTGCACCGATTTTGTCTGCATTTTTAGCCTGACTGATGTGTATCGTAAGTTACTCAGGAGCAACTTACGGGGGTCTTGTCTGCGTCTCCGCTTTTACACACTATTTGCATCACTCTAACATCAATTCACGTTCAGGTCACTTGAACGTGAACTGATGTGGAAGAGTTGACTGCAGCAGGTGGACAGATGGTCCCATCAGTTCACTCGCCGTTCTTATAGCATGGGAGGGTGGGCGGTCATCAGTTCACCTGACGTGAGGTGAACTGATGACCGCCCAAGTTCAGTTCACGTGAACTGATCGAGCTTTACTACGGACCTGATTTTAATATGTACCTTCAATGTACATATATCTCGAAAGGGCTGAAATTAGTCAGAATGGACTGCTCAGCGGGTATTCTGGTTTACCAAAAAGTAAACCAGAATACCCGCCGGAGTCAAACGCACATGCGGACAAAGTTTGGCGCTTAACGGTGCACGCACTAAAATCACTATGCTGTACACACATTATACGTAATCCTGGTCATTTAGACTATATATAAATGTAAATGAGGACTAAACCTTATAGCAGGCATCTGTCTCATTAAAGTAGGTCCATCCAGTTTCACAGCGTCCGGTACAGGTACAGGCTGAAAAGTCTCAGTATAAAACTTAAACTGCCTACAGTCCAAATGGCTATAATTGGCCACACAGTTTTTTCAATAAGTACAGTAACACGATTGTCCTGCATTTGGTCGGCATCTCATTGGTATAGCACAGTAGTACTTCCTCGCGCTTGTCAATAGCTTTTTCAGAACTGCGCTTTTTATTGTCTACGCATCATGTTTTATGTTAGAAGGAGCTTTACTTTCGCTTTGGTGATTGTATTTTCATGAATTTAAAGAAATTCCAAGAAATGCTACAGTGAGCATTTTACAAGTGCCAGAGCTTTCACTAAGGCTCCGTTGAAAGTGACCGCGCCGGCACAGCCCCGCACTGCACAGTGTTGTCACGGCGGCACAACGCAAATGAAGGTCAGATGGAAACTACGATGAACACCGGCTTATAATGGTCAGAGACGCCAAAACTCGCTTTTCTGCATAATTTGCGATTTAATCTTCCTCTTGCGTCCTTATACATCCGTTCTTTCCTTAAAGTTTTGCAGCAATTTCTTTTCTAACGAAGTTTTTTGCGCCACTGCTGTTGTTGCAAAAATAGCGGTCTTCGATGCTGCTTTTGTAGGAAGAACGGATGCTTACGGACGCAAGAGGAGGAGAAAAACGCATGTTAGCAAAAAAGGCGAGTTTTGGCCTCTGGACAAGAAGAGCACTGGAAATTGAACAGAATTCTTATCTGGGCCTCCGCTATCGTTGTGCCGGCGCTGGGATAGCGCTGAGCTATCTGTACTAATGCTGTCTCAAGCTGACACAAACAGCAACTCTTGACGAAGTTCAAGTAAACTCTGTGCTAATTGAGCATTCTATGAAAAGCTGTGATCTTTCTATGAAAGAATGGAAAGGAGCTGCACTTCCAAGTTGACATGTTGCGGAATACAATTACTGATCGCAGTGGGTGTAAGCGTAAAGAACAAGGCTGGCGTGTTTCGAGCGGGTAAACATCGTTTTTTCCCGAGAAGTGTGTTAGAAAGGGTGGGACTGCTTGCAAAAGGCTACATTTTTGGAGGTGCTGACACACTCGTTTGCTCCCCTCCCCCTTCTTCAAGTGATTTTACTTAGGATGACTGATACTGAACTGTTGTTTTGAGTCTCCGCTACCTCTGCACTACAAAAGTTTGTTTTTCGACATAGTGTAGTAATCCGTACACGCTCATGTTCATTTCGCATCGTTCATATTTCCAACTCGATTGCCTACGGCTCCCAATGCCTCCAACGATCGATATGACTTATGAGGACAGTTCTTTCGTTCTTCCTCGAAAGATCAGTGTGGTTCTTAAAGGCCAAGGGGCTCATAAGGCACTGCTTTTTGAAATGATTGGTTTGTAATGGCCCGCAGACGGCCCAAAAGGCAGTTTTTTTCTGATATATCAGTTAGGCAGCTCATGCTGCTTTTTTTTGAATAATGATTTGTAGGTGACTCATAGCATACAGGTCGCATAATGTTGGTTGTAGAGGCACAAAAGGGTCGGCCATAGGCGCTCGTGGGATGATTTTTTAGTTTCGTTTTGCAGTGGGGAGAGGGGGGGGGGTAGGAAGCTCGACACCCTTATGAAGCTTGTTGAGAAAACGCACACTCCTTGTCTTTGAAAGGTTGCAGAGTTGGGAAGAGTTCATTTTGAGTGAATTTATGTAAAAGAGGATTTGGATGTGAGGGTTAGTTAAAATCAGTTTTTTTCTCAAAATCTCGTAGACTTGTGAAAAGACTCTTATGAAGTGTTGAATTGATTGTGGAGTTCTTTTTTTGCAATATCCTCTTTCTTTAAAAAGTGGGTTTTCAGAAACGAGTGGAAATCCTAGAGATATCTGTAGTCACAACTAGGTGACTAATGATGCATCTGCCCGAGCCACTTTCTGGCGACCCATAGGGTCACTAGTATTGGAGAGCTCCCAAGCAAATTTCTGCTGTGCTATTGCCTCAAACTACTCAATAGAGCAACATTTAATGAGTACGAACTTTGCTCAGTCAGATAGAGTAAGCAAGCTTATGCTATTGCTATTCGTATCATATGCCAGTATTTGCTTTGTTGAGCTTGCATAAGAACAATAAAGCTTTAGTGATCTTCCTCTCTCATTTTTAGGTGCCATTACAATTAATATGATTTCTATTCAGTAAAGTTCGTGACGGGCAAAACCGCTTAATAGGAAATAATGCGGTCTTAAACCTGGCGGAATAATTTTCGTTTTACTTAAAACACATGCAGCATTAACAATAGTTACATTAATTATGATTTGGTTTGATATAGGAAAACTCATAATTTCATTCTAATCATTCTTCCTTGGGTGGAGCAAATCAAGTTAACCATGTTATTAGTTTAATACCATTGATAGAAGTTGCATAAATATCGCCTCTTTTTTGCTTCAAAGGATTCACTGTGCCTAAAAATGCTCGTTATGTTTTTTAAGCTGGTCTGGATGTAGATTGATTTTTTGCCTTAAAGGTTTGCTCACCGCCTAAAAAATGCTCGTCATGTTCTTTTTGGTTGTCGTTGGTTAACACACGAAAATAAGACCTACGAGCAGGGTCAAGCGTGGGGTGCGGCACGCCACACCTGGGGGGTCGTATTGAGGAGTCAAAAGGGGAGGGGGTCGTAGTTGGGTAATCTGATAATAGTGATAACATGATATTCGTATCCTATCCATAATTAGCATGTCAAATAATTCCTGTGGACAAAGTGTGAGCGAATTCTGAAGTTTCAAGATACTAGGCTACCTAAGTGAAATGGTCAAATTCCAACATGGTTAACTTTGTTTCAAAGGTGAATTAGCTATCCGTTTTTGCACTCAAGACAAAGCACTACTCCTTCTTTGTCCACCTCAGGAATTCCGCTTCAGAAGACCTCCAAACTGTGGAATTAGAAGCCAACCAAAATCTCGTTTTTCTCATTTTTCGCTTTTGATCGCTGTGCTTTCACCAAATATTACTCAAGTAAGAAGACGAATCAGGCTCCAAACAGTCCTATGAAATCTACAAGGTTTAGGCTATCGACTCGTATAAATACTGTCCGCTAAAATTGTTTTTTGATATAATTAATGGGGTGCGGCACACCCCCTTAAAAGCTGCGGCGGCAGCAGCTTTTAAGGGGGTGTGCCGCACCCCAATAACTATATCAAAAAAACAAATTTAGCGAACACTATTTATATAAGACGATAGCTTAGATCTCCTAGTTTTCACAAGAGTGATTTGATCCTGATTCGTTTTCTTTGCTATGAGTAATAGTTGGTGAAAGCACAGCGATCAAAAGCGAAAAATGAGAAAAACGAGATTTTGGTTGGCTTCTAATTCCACAGTTTGGAGGTCTTCTGAAGCGAGATTCCTGAAATGGACAAAGAAGGAGTAGTGCTTTGTCTTGAGTGCAAAAACGGATAGCTAATTCACCTTTGAAACAAAGTCAACCATGTTGGAATTTGACCATTTCACTTAGGTAGCCTAGTATCTTGAATCTTCAGAATTCGCTCACACTTTGTCTACAGGGGTTATTTGACATGCTAATTATGGATGTGTTGCCCACTATGTTTGACAGGGCCTTCAAGTAATGCTATCTTAAGCGTATAGTTCAGGGGGGGGGGTCTTTCTAAGAAAGCAATCAGGGGGTCGTAACCAGCGATCGTGTGCCACACCCCTTGCTTGACCCTGCCTATGAGCAACTTCTGAGAATGTACTTGCCGAAAACCTGCTTGCTGCCCTGCATAGGCTTACCATATATATGTTTCAGCTGTCAAGCCAAGTTTTTGTGAAGGAATCCTAAGTGAGCTTTACTTATCGGAATTTTTCAAGAACGCTCAGCATAAGTTCTTTGTGTCAGCAGCATGTTGGTAGCTTTATCAGCTCAAATTTTTGTTCACAACTGTACAAAAAACAAATTATGGCTAACCTGCGTTAGAATGCTCGAGATAATAGGGGATAGCAGATTGCTCCGAAAATCTGTAAGTCCGGCCTTTTTTCAATGCCTTTTTTGAGGTGTAACAAACCTGGAGATTAGCTGATTGTTTTCCGGATTCAGGAACGTCTCCGCCAATGGAATTAACGCAACGAGCAAAATTCTCATTGAAAAGTTTGCCTTGGATACTCGTTGTTATTATGTAGTATTTCAAAATAATTAACAAGGGAAGGTCAGAGTCGCACTATCGTTCAACAAGGAGATTAACATCATCAGAGTGCCTTCCGCATATCATAACGTAACATATAACGGTTTCATGTTTATCACTTGGCCACCCCTGATCCGTGAAACATGGCAAACGAGGAAACAACAGACGGAGAAATGATGAAATATACTGATCTTTGGCTTTGGATTGCTGCCAATAGTGGCATGCGTTTTAGGGAGCCTCCAGACCGCGCCGGGACCGCGACGGTTGTCGCTTTTGCAGCCAGTAGCTACTTTCGCGCCAATTGCTGCTATTGTAGCTGAAGCGTACGTGTCGGATTTTGTCCTTGGAGCGTCGCAAGAGCCTATTGGCACTAAATGCTAGGCTTTTCAATTCTTTTGCCACCCTCTTTTGTTTCCAAGGTTCTCTTCTTTCCGAAGTAATTCATGCAGGTTCTACGACGCTGGAGTAATCGACTCATTGTCGAATATTTAATCTACCTCCCGCTGTAAAGCTGTTTCTTTAGGCAAAGAAGTGATGAACGGTGCTTTGTTTTTTATTCATTTCTAGGCTATTCTTTTACGGTGGTTGATCGATTTCGTAGAGAACAAACTTTCTTCAAAATTGTCTTTAGTTTTGAAGCTATGCTACTTCTATCAAGAGTCATCGGGTTGCGGACCTTCCTTGAATGTAAGTGTGAACACTTGTTGAAACTTCGTGCAGCATTGTTTTTCGTACTCTCTCGTCAACTTTATCATTGAAATCAGAAAAAGTCCGCACTTGCCTCCACACAAATCTTAGAGCTCGTAAATCTTTGCGGAACGTTTTTGCACAGCTTTCGTTGTGATGATATTGCTCTGCTGTGTGGTTGTGCAGGCAAGGTTTTTCGATGTCTTTTCCGATTTAAGGTTGGTCTACTGTGCTGAGTGGACGATATCGTCGCCAAACGCTATTTTTTGCACTTTCTAATTTGTAAAGCTACTTTACTAGGCTTGAAGATACACTTACTGATCTAAGTTTCGTTTAACTACTCAAGTCTGCTATTTTACTATGCTGAAGTAAACGGTATATACCTTGAATGGAAAAGGAGAAGGCACCAAATGACTCCGCTTTGGAATAGATCGTTAGTCAGCGTAGTGAAGTACCAAAAGCAAAAAAAGTACAGAGAATTTGAGTTCTGCAGCTAAATCGCTCCTACGGCATGATTAAATAGCTTCAAAAACAAAGAAAGTACATTCGCAACTTGCTCATCCAGTATAGTAAACCAATTTCAGAACGAGAAAAACGTCGAAAAGGCCTTGCCTTGCAATAGCTCTACAGTGGGATTTAGACTGAAAGGGTTTCACTCGACAATGAATCGATGTTTCCAGCATCGTAGACGACCGAAAAAACGGAAACCAGAACAATGAACCATATCTGCAATACATTACTAGAGCAAAGAAGAGAACTTTGGGAACAAAAAAGTGATGACAAAGGAATCGAAAAGCCTAGCATCTAATGCCAATAGGCTCCCGCTACGCTCCAAGGACAAAATCCGACACGGTGCGCTTCAGCTGCAAGCCTAAACGTAAAGCCCTACGTGCCGCTTATAGAATACCTATTCGTAAGCAAGGCGCCAGCGGGATACAGTAACAGAAGCAAGAGCAAGACTGGACAAAGATAAACGCTTCCGAAAGTACCAGCGAGACACAGTTACTTCGTGCTCTCCTGGCTAAGAGCAGAAGAAAGACTATCCCTATTGAATGTTCTTGAAGCACTTTTACCAAGTTTACAACAACATACACAAATTCAATTGAGTTATGTCGTTCGCAATTTGGCATCATTTTTAAAAACTAATATGAGCACAGTATATTCCACCAACACATTCTGAGATAACAAGCATGAAAAAAACAGTATGTACAAAATACACCCGGACATTGGCGTTTTGATCTCAAAGTCATTGCAACTCTTAACACTCGGATCGAATATCGCGATACGACCCATTTACGAAAATGCTTCGGTCGTTCGAGATGAAATTTGGAAGTATTCCAAGACGCATGCCATTATTGGCAGCAATCTAAAGCCAAACAGTATATTTCATCATAATTTCTCCGTCTGCTGTCCCCTCGTTTGCCGCGTTCCACGGATCAGGGGTGGCCAAGTGGTAAATAGAAATCGTTATAGCGACCTTACGGGTCGCTAGCAAGTGGACCGGAGCGGATACATTATTATTAGGTTCAACTGTCACCAAAATATCTCTACATGAATTTCCTACCCCTTCTGAAACAAATTTGGAAAAAGCATTCCAAAAAAGGAGGACTGCTTGAGGGCGATAAACTTCGCAAGTTATCCAGCATTTTATGGAATCCCTGCCACAACCATGCGAGAGCGGAATAGTTTTTTTTTTCAATTACCACCTTCTCCTGCAAAATCCTTTCCCCCTCACGAAGACTTCAGATAATAAAAAGACTCTACCGTACTAACCTCTCGAAAGAATTTGCTTCATTCAGTTTTTCTCAACAAATTTCATTAAAGATTGTTAAGAAATTAACAGAATACACATCGTTTGGGAAGTAATATTTCTCTTAAAATCAATCTTGACAGCAACAAAGCAGTTGTCTCAAAACTTGTCAAAAAGTCCTTCATTTAGGTTGTCATTGAATAATATGCAATTTTATTACGAAAAGAGACCCCACCCCAAAAACCATGGCTTCTCTTGCGCTATGTTGTTACAATATTTGGCGTATAAGGTATAAGCAAATGATCGATTGATAATTTTGGAGCGACGAAATTTTTGGCGGCGATCACATGCTCTAAGTGCCGCTTGAAGACCATATTTACAAGAGGAAACTAACGGCACCCACAGAACGACAAAGTCAAACATTATTTACAACGTATCCGCAAGTTGCCCTATTTGCCACTTAAAGGCAGTGGATCGGCAGAATCCAACAACTCAGGATTTTAACGCGATAGATTTCTTATCGCCCAGGTATGATAATAGTGCAATTTCGGTTGCACAGCATGCTTTCCCTGCCGAGAAAATTGCCTTTAAATTTACACGCCAGGCCAATCTTACACGCATCCGGACGAGTTGGCAATTTCCTTTTCACTATTGGGGCTGCCCGCCGCAATGCTATAACCGTTGGGTCCTGCCTCAATTTAGCGTCATCGGCCTTGCTCCACTCGTCCAATTCCAAAGGGAAGGGCCTTAAGAAACGCTCATTTTTGCCGTTTTCAAGCTTTCAAACGTGGATTTACGGAATCAGCGTATTGAATAACCCCAGGTTAGCGCAAATTCGACTAGATTGAGATTTGCCGAGCCATTGCCTTTAAGGATTGTCAATTATAAGAACTGCCGCAAACGTTTAAAGATCTATTTTCCTGCCCAGTCAAAATGCCCTATGTGCCGCTTATAGACCGATGTCTATTTGAAAGAAAGTGCCTTACGTGCCGCTAAGATCATCTTATATATAAAGCTGAATGTCTGTTTGTCTGTCTGTCTGTCTGTATGTCTTGTCTGTCTGTCTGTCTGTATGTGTGTACGTATGTTCCGAATAGAAAATTCCATTTCTGAAACGATCGGGACCAAACTTGGCACACATACACTTTGGGTCCCGGCGGGTGTCATAGGCTACTTTTCGTATCGATCGATATCGATTTTATCGATTTTTTGCAAAATTTGAGCTACGGGGCTGGGAGTTGGCAGAGGGGTGTAATCGAGCATGCTGATTACGAATACAATATTAGTTTTCGAAACCGTGCATTACTTTTATCGATTTTATCGATTTTTTGCAAAGTTTGAGCTACGGGGCTGGGATTTGGCACAGGGGGTAAGTGAGCATGCTGATCACCCCCGTGGGGGTGATCAGCATGCTCGATTACACCCCTCTGCCAAATTCCAGCCCCTAGCTCAAATTTTGCAAAAAATCGATAAAATCGACATCGATCGATAACGAAAAGTGGACTGTGACACCCGCCGGGGCCCGAAGGGTATGTGTGCCAAGTTTGGTCCGGATCGGTTAAGAAATGGAATTTTCTATTCGGAACATACGGCGGAGCCAGGTAAGCCAGCTAGTATTTATTTTAGAAAAATTACATTACGATACCCAAGAAAGAAAATTTAGACTGAGCATCTACTCACAACTCAAATTGCCCTACCTGTCCCTGAGGACCGTCGATTATAAGAACTGCCCCAAAGGTACAAAAATCTGTTTTCTTGCCTAAACAAAAAGCCCTACATGCCGCTTATAAACCGATACCTATCTGTGAGCAAGACGTCACGGGAGTCGGTAACACAAGCAAAAGCAAGGCTGGTCAAAGATAAACCCTTCCGAAAGCACTGGCGAAACCCAGTTACTCCGCGCTCTCCCGTACAAAAGCAGAAGCAAGATTATCCCAAGTGAGTGTTTTTAGAGCACTTTTACGAAGACTTTTGCAAAGACATACATAAATTTATCTGAATAATGTTGCTAGCAAATTGGCTCATTTCAAAAGCAATGAGCACATAATATTTGAGCAACACATTCTGGGATAACAAGCACAAAATTAACAGTTTGTACAAATAACACATCCGGACACGGCGACCCAACCTCAAAGTCACTGCAACTCTAAACACTCAGGATTAAATTTCGAAATACTGTGACGTTTTACAGAAACATGCTTCGGTCAATCGTTACGAATTTTGGCAGTATTCTAAGGGAGCCTCCAGACCGCGCCGGAACCGCGCCGGTTGTCGCTCTTGCAGCTGGTAGCTGCTTTCGGCCGATTGCCGCAAAACAGATTTTTGTACTTTTGGGGCAGTTCTTATAATTGACGGTCCTCAGGTGAGACAGTAAGGCAGCTTGAGGCTATGTTGTGAGTAAATGCTCAGTCTCATTGTTCTTTCTTGGGAGACAGTTTTTTCTTATGAATACGATCTTCGCGGGAACGTAGGGCATTTTGATTGGGCAGGAAATATTGTTGCACGTTCGGTGCAGCTCTTATA